GCCTGCTGCGTCCTATGAGCAAAGCTTTAGTTTTCTCTGCTGAAATCTGAAGCTTATGTGCTCTGGCCCATTGGGAGAACAGATCAAGACAGTATTGAGATCTCATTTCGAGGTTACTTCTTCCTGCCACAACTAGCATAAAATCGTCCGCATAGGCTATGATTCGAGCGTATTCTATGCTCTCAAACTGACGAAATGCCGAGTTTGCCACTATATTCCACAGTGTTGGTCCAAGGCATGACCCCTGTGGGCATTCTCTAAAGACATTTTTGACATAAAGACTGTTGGGCACGCCATGTTGTGCAGCAAATTTATTACGTCTGGCCACCAAAGGGAGTCAAAGGCTCCCTTGATGTCAATGGCTATTGCATTGCCAGTGAGTGCAAATTGTTATCCTTGTTCTGTTTGATAGTGGCCATTAAGTCTTTTATGGCATGTTCAGTTGAGTTGCCCATTCGGAATCCATATTGGTTGGGATGCAGGGCGTTGTTCCTTTGCAGGAAGAAGTCCAATCTGTAAAGAATTACTCTTTCCAATACCTTACCGAGCGCTGGCAGTAGACAGACTGGCCTGTAAGATGTAGGTTCTGCCGGAGTTTTGCCTGATTTTAGGAATAACGCCACTTCTACCAACTTCATATTTTTAGGAAAGTACTGATGTTTCCAGCAAGCTGAAATGACCGCAAGGAATAGTTTTGGGAATTCCCGGTGTATCTCTCTAATGATGATATTATCAATTGATTAAGAATGGCGCGAGGGGTTTTCGGCATTTTGTGTGCTCGTACTCTTTCACGACATTTGGCGTGCTTCTGTCACGAGCTGGGTAAATTTTGTAAGATATGAAATAAAATAATAGCTACGAACATATGAATGACGGAATGAGATGAAGAATTGTCGGTAGATAGTGGCAGGCCAGTCACAAGCGCAGGTCGCTACAGAACTCAGTGTAACGGCCAGTGTCGTCTGCAGTTTGTGGAAACAGTTTCAGATCAATAGATCCACCAAGCGCAGGTCGCTACAGAGCTCAGTGTAATGGCCAGTGTCGTCTGCAATTTGTGAAAACAGTTTCAGATCACTAGATCCACATCGAGAAGACCTAAATAAGGTCTATCAAGATCCACAACGACGAATGTGGATCATTATTTGGCAGTTTCAGCGCCGTGATACAGGACTGCTGCAGCTTCAAAACTCTCACGTGAGCTGTATGCTAGCGCTGGACTGTCGAATTTCTTGGGTCTACAATTGCCAGAAGACTTCATGAGATAAGATTGTACGCCAGAAAACCGGCCGTTTGCGTCCCGCTCACCAAATGCATAATAGAGCGCGTTTAGCGTACTGCAGATAACATGAACCTTGGATAAGACCATGCGTTTTGAGATTCAGCCTGAAGACTGATTCTCGCTATAGAGAGAATGGAACACGATACCATACCTCAGGAAAAACGATCATTACGTTGATGGAGGTATAATGGTTTGAGGAGGACGCACAGCCCTGCATATGTTTGATAAAGGCTCCCTGACATCAGGAAAAACGATCATTACGTTGATGGAGGTATAATGGTTTGAGGAGGACGCACAGCCCTGCATGTGTTTGATAAAGGCTTCCTGACAGGTATAAGGTATAGAGAACAAATTCTAAGAATCTTATGTTCGACTTTTCAGGTCCGCAGTTGATTCTGGGTTTCTATTAATGGACGACAAAACTTGTCCACGATTATGTGGAAAGTGAGGATATTCGCCGCATGGATTGGTCAGCCACATTTCCCGGCCTTAACCTTATAGAACCTGGTCTGGGATGCTCTTGTGAGGACAGTTTCATTATGTCACATCCCATCCGAGAACCGTTCCGGAATTGGAAACTGCCTTGCTGCAGAAGGGGGGTCAACTGCCACAGGGATTCCTCCACTGCCTCCTATCTAGGTATGCCATCATGCTGCGCGACCTGTCTGGCTGTGAGAAGGGACCATATCCCATATTAGACTTTTTAGTTTGATATCACAATGGGTATTAAAAAATCCCTGTACTATGAGTTCTGCTGATACTCATTCTTACATAAAATTACTGCGAAAAAAAAAGGGGGACAGTTTTATATCTCCCGTTCTACTGGGCCGATTGACGAAATTCAACTTGCGTTTTTCATGTCTCGAAAGTGCGACTTAGGACGTGTAGATTTATATACGGCATTTTTCTAATATAGGTATTTTGACATAAAATCGGACTTTTTCTGAAATGACATGCCAATTTTTTTTTCCCATATTTCAATTTTACGACTCAAATTATACAAAACTGCCAAGTTTTGTAAAAGTCGCATAAGTAATTTTTAAAAAATTAGCTCTCAAAATTTTAGCTCCTGAATGTTAATTGAATTTGATATATATTTATTAATCTCTCTTTTTTTTATAAAACTTACTTGATTCCTTCTTTCACAGTTCGATATTTAGGTTCATTCAAAATAAAATTCGTCCACATTTTATGATTATTTTTTTTTTTAATTTATATTTTTAAATAACTTTTATAAATTTTTCTAAAAAATTTTTGAATTATAACCTATAAAATTTTTACCATCATCTTAAAGTGGATGTATTTCTAAGCATACCTGCAAAAAATTAGAGTTTTTTAATTCAAAATTTCCTAAGATATACGTAAATTTGCATATTGGTATGTTTGTTATAAGCGATAATAATGCCAAATGTGATTTACACACTTTGTTAAAATTATTTGAGAGTAATGAACGATGACCTTTTTCCGCTTGTGTACAATGAAAAAAAGGAAAGGAAAGTAGGTTGCTATAAATTAAGAAGTCCGCCAAGTGAATTCTTGGCGCAAACTGGAAAAAGTGCATCCAAATGAATTTTTAAATTTCTCCATAAATTTCTCACCCAATTTTAAAAGTCCGATTTTGTGTCAAATACCTATGTTAGAACAATGCTATATATAAATCTAATGTATAGCCTAAGTCGCGCTTTTGGGACATGAAAAACGTGATTTGAATTTCGTCAATCGGCCCTGTAGAACGGGTAATATAGTCCTTTTTTTTAGTTCATGCCATATTTAATCTGAAGTACTTTCCAGTAGTTTTCAGAAATTCGCCATAATGTGTATATTCTGTTAATTTTCCGGGTTCATAGGCTGCCAAAATTGTAAACATTTTCTGTACGAAGCTGATTTTTCATTTACATTGTGTGATAAATAATTTGTATTGATTGATTCGAAAAACGATTTCAGAGTATTGCAGTTTCATTGAATAACCATGTATTTGGTTATATTTGTTCGTATTTTGTTGTATAATGATTTTGATTTATTTTTTAATTATTGTATGTTTATTTTTATTTCCTTTCTATTTATTTGTGCTCTACAACAGTTGCTTAAAACTGCATGCGGAGCGAATCCTCGATCTGAAAACAGCTGACGGGCTAGATTTTTTTTAGATAAAAATTTCTTATTAACAAAATAAAAAATATTTTAAATAAGTTTTAAGTTTCGCGTAATGAATTTTATCAAAATATACATAAAACAATAATAAAAATATCGCAAAGGGAAAAAAAAATCAAATTTATATTCCTTTTCTGTCTGAAATCTAAAGTTTGGTATCTGCAAAAAATTTTTGTTGGTTAGACATTTAATTCAGATATACTGACAGCTAAAGATTAAATTTTTAAACTGACATTTATTTCAAATACTTTTAAAATGTTTAATTAATCATTAAATAACTTACTTTAATTTAAACTAAACAAACTATGAAAGCTTTCCAAGTTTTCAGAGAAAATTTTCGAAGTGGCACAAAACTTGAGAACAAATAATGACAATCTAACTAGTCTTTCTCTAATGTATTAAATTTTTCTTCGATGCAAAAATAAAATTAAATACTTATATGAGTTGAAAACTTTAACACAGATAGCATATAATTTTTAGGCTTTAATTGAAAGTATTAAATTTGCAGTGACTGTGGGGTTTTTTGGGGGGGGAGTAATTGTGTACATACTGCAATAAACAATAAAAGAAACCATGAAAACATTAATAATTATGGCATAGAAATATAAACATAAAATAAAAAGAACATGTGTATAAACTTGCACCATTATTTATTTCAGATTCGAAATGTCTAGCGAAACTTTTTCTTTATGTTTGTAGACTTTTTCAGCGATTTAATTTCCTTGTTTGTTTGCCACTCAATTATTGCAAAAAAAAAAAAAAAAAAAAAAAAAAAAATCTAAGGAATCAGTTAAAGAAATTAAATTACTAAAATTTTTCTGTTCGCCTAGTTACAAGGATGGGGAAAAAATGTATCGTTGCTTCTAATCACTGTGCACATCATATGTCTAATAAAACCCTCACCACTATTTTTGAAATCGTACAGTTTGGCATTCCATAAAATTTAACGGTTCATACCAAGAAATAGAAGATGAAATCTAAAATCTTGAAATTACAACTCAACACCTCGAAGAGGAGAGGAGGAAAAAATTGTAAAGCTTAAAATTCTTTTGAATGTATATTTAAAAAATTTATAATCATGAGTTAAAGAAGATTTTTGCAATTTGATCATCGATCGCAGTCTGAAGTACTTTTTTAGCTAGGTAACTCCAATGGGAATATGAGTTTAAAAATTAGTCCCCTAGTAAATAGATATATAAAACATATATCCAACATGAATTTTTCAAGTGACAAAAAAAATTTGCTTTGATATAATTTCAACGTTCTGTGAAGATTTGTGTACTTATTTAATAAAGGACAGAAATCCATTTTTCAGAGAGTAACTGCACTTTGATTTCGTTTGATCGCTTGCAACAAATGTTTCCCGCAAAATAAAAAATTTTGCCAAGATCCAAAATCTACTTAAAAGAATAAACATATCGAAGAGGTATTTCAGTATTATCATTCAGTATTTTCAGAAACTTTCTCAAAAATTCCTAAACGAAACATGTTTTGTAGTAGTATGTGTTTATTTTTATGAGTAATTTAATTTATGTAATTTTTATGGGTTATTTAATAACTTTTGTTTTAGGGTACAAAGTAGAAGAACAGTGGCTCAGGTTGAGAAAGGGATACAAATCAGCCTTACGGCAACAGAAAATGAAAGGAAATGGAAGATGTGAAACAAAGAAATGCTGGGCTTACGAGAAACAAATGGGATTTTTGCTGCCTTTCCTGACAGACAGATCTGTTTCACCTTCGGTCCAGAAAACTGCAGATGGAAAAATGTCTCATCCGTTTCAAGAAGAATGCAATGCTCAAGACGAAGATAGCAGTTCATCAAGTATTATCACCTGTGATGATGCATTTAATAATCATTACTTATCAGAGCGTTCGATATCAAAGACTTATCCTGTGACGGAAAGACCTTTAAACGAGAGCAGCATGATATCTGACGACAGAGAATCAGCGGGGACTCCAGATCAACGAACTGCCAATGAAGAAAGTTCTGGTTCATTTAAGAGCATGATCTCCAAGACCAAGATGGCAGTTCTTCATTTAGAAGGATCCTTCCTGATCACACATTTCATAATTATCACTTATCAGAACTTTTAAGACCAGAGCAAATAAAATCAGAGCCCTCTTCTGAGACGGAAATACTTTTAGACAAAAGCAGCAGGATATCTGAAGGTATGGAATGTGGATCAAGGAGGACCTCAATTCAAGAAACTACAGATGAAGAAAATTCTGGTCTGTTTCAAAAAGAGCATGATCTCCAAGACCAAGAAGGCAGTTCTTCATCTAGAAGCATCATTCCTCATCACACGTTTCATAATTATCACTTATCAGAACTTTTAAGACCAGAGCAAATAAAATTAGAGCCCTCTTCAGAGACGGAAATACTTTTAGGCAAAAGCAGCAGGATATCTGAAGGTATGGAATGTGGATCAAGGAGAACCTCAATTCAAGAAACTACAGATGAAGAAAATTCTGGTCTGTTTCAAAAAGAACGGGGTCTCCAAGACCAAGAAGGCAGTTCTTCATCTAGAAGGATCATTCCTCATCATACATTTCATAATTATCACTTATCAGAACTTTTAAGACCAGAGCAAATAAAATCAGAGCCCTCTTCGGAGACAGAAATACTTTTAGACAAAAGTAGCTTGATATATGAAGATATGGCCAGTGGATCGAAGGGGACTTCAATTCAAGAAACTGCAGATGAACAAAGTTCTGGTCTACTACAACAAAAGGCTAATCTTCAAGATCAGGCAGACAGTTCTTCATTAAAGGGAATCTTTTCTACTGAAACGTTTCATAACTACTTTACGTCGAAACCTTTAAAACTAATGCAAATAAAAGCTCCTTCGACGAACAGATCTATAATTCAATCCAGCATATCTAATGATAGACATTTTGGATCAAGACAAATTCCAGATCAAGGAATAACAGATGAAGAAAGTTCTGGTCCGTTCCAACAAAAGGCTAGTCTCCAAGGCCAAGAAGAAAGTTCTTCTTTAAAAAAAATTGTTCTTGTTGACACATTTCATAATTACTTTTCATCGAAACCTTCGAGAGCAAAAAAGCAAACAAAATCTTCCCGTTTGACGAAAAGATCTTTAGGCGTATCCAACCTAGTATCTAACGACAGGGACTTCAGACCAAAGAGCACAATGGACAGTATATATAACAATGAGATTGAAAAAACTGATGCTTTGTATCAATTTTTTATGTCAATGTATTATACTACTAAAACACTACCAAGATCATTACAAATGAAAGTACAGAAAACTATATTTGATGTTGTCTTAGAAGAAGAAGAATCTGTAGGTAATATTTAAAAAATGCATGACTTTTGTATGAGGAACCTAGCATTGTAAGACGTTTTCTAATTTCATATTAATTAAGAAGTAAATATACCAAAACATACTGTTTTTTTATGTAAATTACAGTAGTGCAATGCAAAATAAAAATATAAAATTCATAAACTTGTCTCTTGTTTTTATGGTATAAACGAAGTGGATTCGTAAATTATTGAATATATATATATATATATAATGTTGTATGAACTTAAATCCATTTAGTGCGAATACAAGTTATTATTACTTGCGCAATTGCTGCAAAGTTAGTTAATAATATAATTTATTTCCTAAACCGTATTGATTAATTGATTTTTAAATTATTATATTATATATATATATATATATATATATATATATTTTTAAGTACCGATAAATCGGAAACATAATTTTCGTGACTGAAATCAGATATTCGGAGCTTCTGTACTATAATTTAAAACACTTTCCAAAATACGTAAAGAAATTATTAAATGACCTGCAGCTTCGATTAAACGTCTTCCTTTAAATTATTGCTTTATGCGGGCAATAAATTAGGCATTTGGGAATTACAGCCACGTCAGTGGATGTTTTTAGCTTTTGTGAGCTGTTTTTATGGTTGTAATTCATATCATATTAAATAGCTTCAAAACTTTGAACTTAGCCCCAATTGGTGTGGAAAAACGTACAGCAATTAAAAATCCTTAAAAAAAACGAAAGATAGCATCCTCAGGATGGGTGAAATATTGCTAAAGCAATTAATTCCTATTTCCTACTCCCTTCTAAGAAACAAATGATTAGTCAGATGATTTGGACTTTAGAGTCTGTTTAGAGAACTGATGATTATCATTCGTTGCCGCACTGACATACATGTGGTTGCCAGAAACTGAAAGTGGAGATTTACTCGAAAGGCACATCAAAATATAACAATCAAAGTCATCATTGATATTAACACGAAACATTACTTTAGCTGAGATAAACTGATAGAAATTATTCAATTTTGCGTGTAGAACAGTGTTAATTGATTTTTTTGAGCGAGCGGAAGTAGTAGTGACGTCTTTTGTCTCATAACTATCATTTCTTGATTAGAAAATTATTATTTCGTATTTTCGTCATTAATTTTATTTTTGTACCTCTTACGTCTGTTTAAGATTTGCCCGATTTTAACACTGATTTGTAAATGAGCAGTTGCTAAAAACTACATCCTTAGCCAAAAGTGGCGATATCGTTCTCTCTTACCTGATAATCACCGTATACATTTCAAGCGCATTGCTGTCTTTGTTTTATGATTTAAATTCTTTTACTTTGTTTGCAGAGGAATTTGTTTTCGTTCATTGTCTATGCTGGAAGGCTGTTCTTGCTTTACACCTCGTGCGGTTAATTTTTTATCTATGCTGAAACGCTTGTCCGTGTATATGTACCAACTTTTTTCTGGACATGATTGCACCTCATTGCGTTGGAGAAATTTATTTAGGGGGAGGGAGTATCCGTCTGTGCGTAAAAAATGAATCTGGATTTTCGTTTGTTAATTTATTGATTTCTCCAAATTTATAAGACGCTTTAACCTTTAGACTTGATCTTTGTATTTGTCTTTTTATCGTGATAGACGATGATTTGCGAGAGTTAGGATAAGAGGAGCGAAAAGTGTAGCTGTCTCTATAAATCAGGAATAAGGAAATATTTTAACCAGGAACTAAAAATATGTTTCTAGGGCAGCATATGATAGGGCCGTCACGATCCTTTGTGGTGCCCCTGTTACTTCCAGGTTGCGACTCGGGGGAAAGACCCCTCCCTGGTAGAAATTTTTAAAAAAAGTTACAAATGCGCATAAAACGGGCGTTGTAACTATTGGTCATCCAATGACTGACATATACACTGTTTTATTTTCAAATAAGAATTTAGAGTTGAAATGTTCTTTTCGTAAGATTTCTTTTCTGTTAAGACGTTATGCCTCAATATCCTATTTATAGTTTAATTTGTAAATTAAAGCTTATAACCGCTCCTGATACTATAAACTTGGGTGGACTCATCTAGCAATGACAGTAAAGTGCCCTCTGGAGAGTAGCCAAAGAAAGACTTAAGTAAAGCCCAGGTGATGAACCTGTTAGGTTGTATCAGACCCTTGCTTCGTAAACTCTTAAAATTGTATGTTATGTCTGTGGGTAACTTAACCTTTGTAATAATTTATTGTTACACGGTAAAGGACTCTTTTATGACCCCATCCAACACAAACCCCTATAAGCGGTTAAAAATGTTGGCATTAAATTCTTCTTCGGGTGTACATACTTTCTAGTATAACTCGGGTTCTCAACTTAGGTTAATCGCTAGTATAGTCATGCGTATGCATTCTGTCACAAAAACGATCACGTGTCAATGCGTATGCACCAAGAAGAAATCGAGCCACAATCACGAAACTCGGCAGGAATGTAGTCCTATAAGATATATCCAAACGATTTAAATTTTGACCCCAATGAGACAAGGGTAAGCGCTCTATGCGCAGCTGGAAGAGTTTAAAAGCATAACTGCTCGTGCCATAGAGCTGTTCAAACGAATCTGTCAACTTGGATGGACGGTATTGTGACTAGAGATGCCTCTGAGACGTAACTGGCGGCAATACGGACTGTTATCGGACTTTGAGAAGAGGCGTCTGGTAAGCCTCAGAGAAGAAAGTTAGTCGAACAGGCGTATCGGCCGCCACTTCGATCAGAGCGCTATGGTAGTTGTTCGGTGTTGGTGACAATGGATCAAAGGATTACAAAAAGGTGACAATGACAAAGGATTAGTGTACCGTCGCGGAGGGTGAGGGCGTCCGAGGATCACAAATGAGCGCAGGGATCGTTCAATCATAAGATCGTTCAACCACCTCCGCACCAACAACGTTGCTAACATCTGTTCGACGCTATTTACCACCTTCCGGGTATCCGGCGGTATCAAGGGAAACCATTCGAAGACAACTGGCCGACGCTTGTATCTGCTGCCGGCGTCCATTAATAGCCTACCACTGACCCCACATCATAGACAGTGTCGACTGGATTTTTACCAAACTCGGGCAAGCTGGAGTGTGAGCGACTGGTGGCGCTTGATCTTCTGTGATGAATCCCGATTCAGTCTGAATGCTGATGGTCAACACACACGCGTTTGGAGGCGGCCAGGCCAGTAGTCCGATCCGACATTTGCTGTTGAGCGGCATACGGCGATTACACATGTTGTGACAGTGTGGGGAGCGATTTGTTGGGGCACACGATCACCTCTAGTCGTCTTGCAAGGCACTATGACGATCGCGGTTACATTTTAACATCGGTTGTACTGTTTATACTATCAAGTCGCCCAGATGCCATTTATCAGCAAGATAACGCTCGTCCACATACTGCGGGACTCTCCCAACTATGTCTTCGAGGATATGACTAACTATTCGTGGCCTGCCAGGTCACCAGACCTCTGGCCAATAGAGCACATGCTTGGAAGGCAACTGCAGCCGTCCGGAATATTGGTAATTAACTGCTTACTTCAATAGATTATGGCATGATGTTCCGCGAGGGATCATACATGACCTGCTTGATTCGATGCCACGCCCGGTTTCGGTTTGTATAGCTGCCAAAGGTGGCTATAATACTTCCTTATTTGTAACCTTTTTCATTCTATAATTTCTTAATGAAACGATCTTTTGTTCTGAATTTGTAATCATTTGTTTATCTCCACATACACTATATATATCTTAAGTTTCATGATAGTAATTTATTTCCTTCTGGATACATACTGTAACAATAGATACGCACTGGGGCTGCCGATTTCGGTAGTTTGCGCACAAAATCGGTTTTGAAAAAGATGAAAATATCGTTGTGCAGCTCGATTTTTGCCCACTTCTGCGGAAGCGAGTTTTGCCACTGCTCCTTTCATTAGGGGCCTACAAACTAAAACATCCAGATGAAAAATTTCGTCATCAGTCTGAGTGTTAAAAATGAACATATACAATGCAAAGTCCGTAATCTGGACGTCCATTATCCAGAATGATCTGTAATCCGGACCACAAAGCCACATACATTACGCATGCGCGCGTTGAAAGAAATATTTAATAAAGTAAACAAATAAATACTAAGCTTTTTTTTGTAAAATTTGATACCCTTTAGCTCATAATTGCTCTTTATTTCATAAATTACGGTTTCATATTTTTAATTGTATAATTTCTGCATGCCATATTACCAGATTTAAATTGATGATCTATAATCCGGAATCGCCGAAGTCCCGACGAGTCCGGTTCACAGACTTTGTACTGTATTGCATTCTACAATGCTCGGAAGGACTGAAGAGAAAAAAGGTTTGTATGTAGCCAAATGAATCGAACCGCTGCATATTGGTAATTCTATCAGAGTCGTAGTCTTGGCGAACACTCGGATTGCATGGATATTATAAGAGCTTTTACCTTGTGTAAGAGAAATAAAAGATAAATTTTCTTTAAAGCAGTGGTACCTCAAATGTGAATCTTTTGAGTTCTTTGTGTTTTGTAAATATATTTAACTCATGGCTCGGGGTTTCTTAAACTTATTTCAATCGCGACTACTTTTTATCACTGAGATTTTTTCGCGACCCCCAGGACCCCATAATATTTGCAAAAATTTTGTGCGACCCCATAAGTATTGTTCAAATCCTACACACGCGTGAGTGAAACTGTCAATTTTTTCACTTGTACTTTAATATACTAATGCAGTTTTAGGTCATTAACTTTAATTTCTAATTTTAAAGACATAGAACAATGTGAAAATTTTAAATAAGTAACAGACAAAATGACAGCGTCACGTGCAAAGCAAGGAAAATAAACGTTTATATTATAAAAACAATGCGTCGAAACGTTTTCATTTTTTTCTTTTCCTGTATTGCCTTATCTTTATCTATTCTCAGATACATTGTGTAAAAAATATTTGATAATTGTAAAATTATTATAAGTTAAAAAATATCAAAACTGCTAAAATTTTTGGCGACCCACAGTTTAAGAAACCCTTCATTAAGTATTAATAATTGCAATTATTTATTATTTCATTTTTTCTTGTTGTCTATTAATAATCACCTCCCTTTTCAGAACTATCTACTTATGAATCGCAGATTGCAGCTGTGACCTTGAAGCTAAAAGTTAGGCAAAGTAAGTTCCTCCCCTCGCG